GCATTTTTGAATTTTTTTCAAGTGCTCTCCATGTTCATCCGGTTTTTTACCGGCCTCCAGCTTCCGTTTTTACCTGTTTCCTGTTCCTTGGAGGGGGGTGTTCTTGGGCAGCGAGTTTGTTCTATCCCTTCCTCCTTCTGTCTCACTAGCATCATCACAGTCATCTTCGGACAATGTTCCTCTTCCTCTTTTTGATGTTCGGTGATTCTCTTCCATTAGAGTTTTATTAAGGCCGTCTTTGCTGCCGATGTCGTACGCCAGCCTGTATAGGGGCCCCTCCCATTCCGGCATGGGTGTAGCCGTACTGTCCCTCGACTTGGTGCCAGTACTACCATTATCAGTGAAACTCCCCACTGGTGAGTAGAAATTTTCAAATTCGTTTTCCCCTCCGCTTTTTCTTCTCGGCGGGGTCCTTTTTAGGGAGTCCCTCCTTCTGAAGGCTTCCGTCTCTGGTATTTTTAAGATATCTCCTTTTTTGTTACTCAGCGTTTCTTCCAGCCAGATATCAGGACTTATTTTCTCTATCTTTTGGCCTTCCATCTTCTCTTTTTCTTCTCCTATACTCTTACTAGTACCTATACTTTTCTCCTCAGTAATTCCTGGATACACTTTATCCTTTGAATCCCCTTGAGTTAGTTCTACGCTTGTATGTACCTCGTTGCCACCTGCTCCGGTACTTTTTGGGGTTTTCATCATCGAGTTTTTCACCCTCCCCCCAGAATCCAAGGGACAGTCCGTATTTACGGAGGGGGATTCTGGGCCTTCGGCCCTACCCCCCTGGGGTAATTTGTTTTGTATGTTCGACATTTCATATTTTTATAGTTTGGTTTTCTGTCGGGGTTTCCTTCCCTAAGCCGCCGGTTCCCCGTTTTGTGGCGCTGGGATCTCGCCATTCGCCCTCCCATTTCAGGGTCGGACTTTCCGGTTTGCTTTTGTTAGCTGGGCTGATGTTCTTGAACTGGTACTTATTGGTGTCACCTAGTCGGCATCAGTGACTCCACCAGTGCCCCACCGATCATTTTGATCTGTTTGTCGGCTTCACTACCCATTCCCGTCCCGTAGGGCGCGAGAACAGGAAGCTACTGAACCACTCCACCAACGGTAACGTCTTACAGCTACTAGGAGTGGAACCTAACCTAACCTAACCTAACCTAATCTAATCTAATCTAATCTAATCTAATCTAATCTAATCTAATCTAATCTAATCTAATCTAATCTAATCTAATCTAATCTAATCTAATCTAATCTAATCTAATCTAATCTAATCTAATCTAATCTAATCTAATCTAATCTAATCTAATCTAATCTAATCTAATCTAATCTAATCTAATCTAATCTAATCTAATCTAATCTAATCTAATCTAATCTAATCTAATCTAATCTAATCTAATCTAATCTAATCTAATCTAATCTAATCTAATCTAATCTAATCTAATCTAATCTAATCTAATCTAATCTAATCTAATCTAATCTAATCTAATCTAATCTAATCTAATCTAATCTAATCTAATCTAATCTAATCTAATCTAATCTAATCTAATCTAATCTAATCTAATCTAATCTAATCTAATCTAATCTAATCTAATCTAATCTAATCTAATCTAATCTAATCTAATCTAATCTAATCTAATCTAATCTAATCTAATCTAATCTAATCTAATCTAATCTAATCTAATCTAATCTAATCTAATCTAATCTAATCTAATCTAATCTAATCTAACATAACCTAACCTAATTTTTTTTTTGTTGAGGGGAAACCGCATGGCACCAGCCGCTGAGTCTATGCAACTGGTAGTGCCGGGCGCTACTCCGACTAAAACCCGCATTCACCTTTATTGTGTCCTTGCTCCATCCTGGGACCGCCTTTCGGCATAACATCAGGATGGGGACTGTGACTGTGAAATGGTCTGTATTTCAGGTGTGCAGGTGTTTTCTACGCTCCTCCCATTTCCTGGTAGTCTCGCTTTTCTTCTTTTTTTGCTTATAATGAGACTTATTTCGCTAGCTATTGCGTTCCAGTTTTCTTTGTTTTCCATCATTTTGCCAATAATATTTTGTGGGGACAGGTTCAGTTCGATGATTTTACTTCGGCTGTACCTTCCCTTATACACGAGAAAACTGTGTGCTCCGTTGTATCTTCGGCTCCACAATATATGCAGTGCACATCGTCTGCTTTTCCGATTCTATTGGTAAATTTGCGGAATGATCCGTGCCCGCTTAGAAACTGTGTACTGTAATAATTCACTGTGCGGTGTGTGCAATCTATCCATTTTTTGATATTTGATTAACTTCTTAGTCCACTGCGCGACGCTGGTGATTTCATTCCAATGTCTTTGCCACTGCCTTATTGTTTCGTCACGCTCCTCCTTTCTGGTGCTTTCATCGATTTCTTCCCCAGCTCTCTTTCTTGCATGTAGCCTGACCCTTTCCTGTATCAGAAATTTTATAGGTATTATACCGGAGATGACGTGTGTCGCTTCGGCCGAGATCGTCCCGTATGCACTAATTACCTTTAAATTAGTTCTCCTCTGGAGTGCCTGGAGTTTGTTTGAATATTTTTTAATATCTGCGGCTCTGTGCCATACTGGGGCGCCATATAATAGTATTGAATGCACCACTTGACTGAGCACGACTCTTTTTTCTGAACTTGGTCCACCTATATTGGGCATCAGCTTCGCCAAAGCTGAATATGATTTTTCCGCCTTTTCCACTGTTTTTCTGACGTGTTCGTTGAAGATTAACTTATCATCTATATAGATACCGAGGCATCTAGCGCTTTTTGTCGGTTGGATACTTATGTCTCCTAAAGTGAAGCTGATGCCCTCCCTTTTCCTAGGTCCTTTAAAAATGACTGCCTCCGTTTTTTGGCCGGCGAGCTTGATTTTATTCCGAGTCATCCACTCGGTTATCATTACTAAAGAGGTATTTGCCTTCTCGATAAGACCCCTTTTGGATCCGGACCTTATTATAAGGGTGAGATCATCGGCGTAGGCCACCGTCTCGCAGTCATCGGGAAGTTCCAGTCTCAAAGCTTCATCGTAAAGGACGTTCCAAAGCAACGGGCCAAGTACCGAGCCCCGGGAGACTCCTTGGCTCATTTGCTTACTGTATCCTTTTATGTATATCTCCCTGTCCTTAAAGTAGCTTGTTACCAGATTTAAGAGCCACCTTGGCGTGTTCGTGGTCCGGAGTCTATTTTTTATTATCGACCATTTGGCGGTGTTGAACGCGTTTTGTACATCTATGCAAATCATTGCCTGCCAAGGTTGCCTGGTTCTGCCAATGATGGCCTCCACCGCCTCTACCGTGGATTTCCCTTTTCTAAATCCGTATTGTGCGTCTCTTAGTTCTATGTAGTTCTCCAATTTTATCTTAATGAGCTGTTCCAGCACTTTCCCCAGAACATCTAATAGACATATGGGTCTGTATTTTTGGTTTACTTTAGGGATTAACGCCACTCTGGCCTTCTTCCATTCTTTCGGTATTATTTGAGTTGTACCTATTTTGTTGAACACCCTTAGGAGTTCCTCTGGAATTACTCGGGGCGCCAATTTTACCATTTCCGGGGTTATTTCGTCTTGACCTGGTGCCTTCCCTGCTTTTATTTTATGCGTAGCGACCATTAGTTCTTGTTGTGTGAACGGTTCGTGATCCTCCGCTCTTACCCAGATTTCCTCTTCTTCGTCCACGTAGTCCTTTGCATGTCTGTTAGTTCGTATTGGGCGTTCTGTTGCTTAAGGTGTTTAACAGCGATGCTGTACCCTTGCCCCCATACGTCCCGTTCGAGTTCTCTGCATAGATCTTTCCACTTCTCCTTCTTTGCTTTATTAATTTTGTGTCTATACTCTTTTTTTGCCTCAGAGTAGTTTTGTTCAAGTACCACGATCCTGCCCCGCATCCTTTCCGCTCTTCTTCTGGCTCTGGTGATTTGTCTGCGGAGTGTGTTACAGGCTTTCCTGCTGTCGGATATATCCTCATTCCACCAATAGGGTGCCTTGTGTGCTCTTCCCGGAGGCAGCGTTATTTCGCTGGACCGGTGCGCGCTCTTGAGGATCCTGACTAGGCTTTCGTGGGAATCGCCGACATTACCTTTTAAAATCTCTAATGTATTTTCAAAACATGCTTTGCCGAGTTGGCTCCTTGGTCTAAAGAGGTTTTGCTTTTTTTTATTTCCCTGTAGGGTTAACTCAAAGGTAATGATGCGATGTAGGCTCAGTGGCTCTTCCAATGACACACTCCAGTTCCTGATGTTTCTGTAGGTACGCTCAGAAGCCAGAGTGATATCTATGTAAGATTCACTGTTTCCCCTTACGAAAGTTGGTGTACGTCCGTCGTTCAGGGCGACTATGTTTAGGGCTGCCATCCAATTTTCTATGTATATGCCCTTCCCGTCGGTGGCATTTGGGCTCCATAGATTTGATTTACCGTTTAGATCCCCCAAGATCATGAAATTTGTATTGTTTTTTGTCCTAGTTTCTTCCATTATCTCGTCAATTTTTTTCTCATATTCCCTTCTAGGGGTGTTTGGTGACACATAGCAGTTGTATATATCTATGCCGTTAACTCTTATTCTGACATATCCTGTTCTGCAAGAATGTTGCCAAATACCTACCCTTTTATTTCTAATTATGACGGCTACATCTTTCCTTGTGTCTGTGATTAGGCCTTGGTTTTCTGTGGTCTTCTTATTGGGCTCTTGTAGAAAAATGAGATCGATGTCCTCTCGTGCAGCCATTGCAATTGCGCCCTTGTCGATCTTCCTACGTTGACCTTGTATAACCTTTACCGGTATTATGGTATTAGTGCAGAAATATGTGGTTAAATTTTGTGTAGAGAGTAAGAGATAGAGATGGTGAAGGTGATGCTTGTGTGTATGTACAGTGTGTAAGCTAGCTTAGTTTATAATAGTATAATATGTACAGAAGAATTAAAACAGATAGAGTAAGGTAGCGTAGAGTAGGGTAAAGTATAGATAAAAGATATTTACAAAATATTTACAAGATATTTACAATGAGAGCTTTCACTCACCTGGATTATATGTAAGTAGTCCTCCTGAGACTGTTTGGAATTTATTTGGGTGGGGCGGTGCCCCGTCATGTTCTGGATTGGGAGTTAGCCTTCCTGATTTCCTCCCTGAGGGCTCGTTGATATCTGGGACACCTGTTGTTTGTGTGCCCCTTTTCGTCACAGGTCCAACAAAAAGGCACGTGATTTTCACATGTTCTGGCGAAGTGTCCGTTTTCTCCACATTTCCTACATCTGTCGTCTCTTTTTGGGCCTCTGCATTCCGAGGCCTTATGGCCCATGCCCCAGCATCTGTAGCATTTCTCGAATATGATCCTCTCTCGGATCCTGCAGCTTGTCCAGCCGATTTTTACGCTTCCCTTTGCGAGGATTTCTGGAACGTGCTTCTCTTCTACGAGAATTACAGCAGTCTGTCTTCCTATGGACTCTTTCATGGATTTGATTTCTACCTTAATACCCGTTATGAGGTCCTCCATCGCGTTTTTAATGTCCTCTCCCATTGTAACCGCGTCCATGTCTTGAACATAGAGCGGGACTCTGTTGTCCCCTGCCGTTCTTATGGTCCCCCCTTCTAACTTATTTGAGAACACGTCTGTCAGTTGCTGTATGTCCTCCTTTCTATTTAGGGTTACCAACAGGTCCCCACTCCTGGTTTTTTTAGGTCCCGCACCCGGTCCCCTACATCCTCTGCGCTAACCTTATTTCTGACGTCTCTTAGAAGCTCCGCGTACGTCTTTCCTCTGGCTTCGACTATGAGGGCTTGAGTTTCGTACTCCTTCCTCTGTCTCCTGTGAGCCAGCGTCCATCCCTCACTTGATATATTGTTCCTGTCGAGTTCTAGTTCCGTATCCATATTGAAAATCATGACTTCCATCTCCTCTGCCCTAAATACACATTCTATTATTTTTCTTAGTCTTTCAGATAGTGCCTTAGGGTCAACCAACATAGCCGCCTTTTTTACTTCCTCCTTTTTCAGCCTCTCCTTTAGCTTCACTAGCATTCTGAAGTTATCTTCCTCCTGTTTGCAGAGGCCCGCCAGGAGTATCGACCTCCCCGTCTTCTTTGTGAGGGTCTGCCCATCGATGTTTTGGTGCCTCGTGTTTTGTAGTAAGGCTACGGTCCCCTTTTCGATTTTGCCCATTTCGATGACATCTTTTATATGCTCCTGCTTGGCCATATTAATGTTCGTGGGGCCTTCAGCTGGGTTGTACAGGATCACTGTGTATATGTTGCCCGACATCGCTGTTGGGTTCCCTTCATGTATGGCAGTCTTCGTAAATGCATCCTTCGCCCATTTTAAATCACACGTCCGGTCGATGACTTCCCAGTTGCCTTTGGCGTCGTCATCCACGTCTTCTCTTGTTAGAAAGATCGTGGGATGACTTATCTGGGTTCCTGCGTCTTTTTGTGTTGGCCTTGAGGGTTCTCTGAGGTGGTCAATGAGTACACTCATTTCCTGAACAGCCATAGTGAGTTCTACGATGTTCTCCTTTATTTCCCTCTTGGTGTTAACATTTTTACCAGCCAGTCTACTAAGTTCCTCCACTATTCTATATAACCTGTCCATCCCTTCGTTCAGGCTTTGGTCCCTTTCCCTTCTCTCGTCTATGTTGGGAGGTGTGCCGACCTTTTTTCTTTTGGTGTCCCTCGTCTCACCTTGGGTCCTGTCTTTCCTTTCTTCTGTGTTTCCGCCTGTTATTATATCGCGAAGGAATTGATCTTCATCGTCCTCTGACGACCTTCCCCTTTTCCTATCCTCCTCTGCTGCATCTGATTCTTCCATCCTTCCCTCACCCTGCAAATTGAACATCGGACTGCTAAATATGTTGTCGTCAATGTAACCTGCTGAATTGATCTGTGGGGTCACTGGTGAGTCTAAGCCGGTCGTTTTGCTCTGTCCCTCGAGCCTTATTTGTAGTTTGCAGTTCGGGGGAGTTCTTTTAACCCTCAACGTGCCCCCTCTTTTCCTCCATTCCTCAATGATTGCTTCTTCCTCCATCAGTTGCCTATTTCTTTCAACTTCGTCCTCCGTATTTTCGGTTTCGATTTCGTTCTCCGTATTTTCGATTTCGTTATCGGTAACAATGCTTTCTGCTTCAGGCTCCACCGTGCCTGTCTTTCGCTGTTTGCGTTGCATTTTTCATTCTTTATCTGTATTTATATTTGCGTGTGTGTTAGTTTTATATGGTTCCATAGTTTTTCCCACGAGAAGGGCAGATCTATAAGTTCGGCAGTGTAGTGCTCCCTTGCACTGCTAAGGCATTCCTTCGGTATTACCTCCGGCTACCCTGCACGCCCTCGCCATGGCGCCAGGGAGCTGCTCACGACCCTCTCCGGGGGGCCATGCATCCCTCGTCGCAGTTCCCAGACTTAGATTCCGTGTGCCAATTTTGGTTCGCGCCAGTTATTTGATTTGGCCGGTACCACCCATATCTAGGAAGCATTCCCCTATCCACCACCTGGGGACGCGCTAGATGGGAGATTGGCAACTCCGCACCAGAACCTAACCTAACCTAAACTTTTTTTGAGGAGGGGAAAATGCTTTTACGCACACCCTCTGCAAGCTGTTCGGCAGGGGTAGTGTGGGACTCGAGACTACAAATAATACCCACTAAAAACCCCTCCTCTCCACTGACATCACGGTATCATCCTATCTGGATATCATCTTCATGATATCATGGACGTTCTATGTTGCCTGAAATAGCCTTTCCTCTCTTTCTTTTGTTTCTATAACTTGGACAATAAAGTCATATGCTATTTCAGCTGGTTTTACTTGTACACATCTTGCCAATTATGTTTTCTGGTGATAGGTCCCCCCCCTCTCTACCCATCAGTTCCGTTCTCCAGATTTGCCACTTTTGGCATTGAAAGATTGTGTGTTCCACTGTGTCCCTTTCCTCACAGTAGTAGCACTCGTCGGTTTGGGTCGTTCCTATCTTTTTGACGAAACTTTGGAAACAGCCGTGCCCTGTCAAGAATTGTGTAAAGTAGTACCCAGTGGTCTTGTGGTCACACTCTACCCAGAGATTTAATTGCGGTATGATTTTCCTGGTCCAGGCCGCCTTAGTTTGCTGCTCACTCCACCTTTCTTGCCAGTGCTCCAAAGTTCCCTGCTTTGCTGCCTTCTTTACATCCTCCGTTCCGCCACCAAGATATATTACTTCCCTCACCATTACCAATAGGGGGTGTACCCGCCACAATCTGCGCTGCTTCGCTGGATATCGTCCTGTTGGCCTGGATAACCCTTAAAAGGCTTCTTCGTTGCAGACTGAAAAGCATGTTACGGTATTTCTTGTACCTTAGAACCGAACTCCACGTCGGTGCGCCATATAACATGATCGACTGTACGACCCCGTTTAGTACTGCCCTTTGCTTATACCTTGGATCTCTAATGTTTGGCAAAATCCTATTTAGTGCTGCAATTGTTTTTCCAGTTTTGACCATAGTCCTCCTCACATGTTCACCAAAGGTTTTCTTACCGTCAAGCCAGATCCCAAGATACTTCACCTGTTTGACCGGTACTATGTCTACACCGTTTAGTTTGAAGGTTATCCATTTAATATTAGCGCTTCCGTCTTTTCAGGGGCTACTTGGAGTTTGTGTCCCTCCATCCACTCGCTTATCGTGTCTAATGAGCAGTTTGTATTTCGTATAAGCCTCGATGGACTATCTGCGGCCACTGTTAGTGCTAGGTCATCCGCGTAGGCAACTACGTGGCAGCCGTCTTCTAGTTCTAGTTGTAAAACATCGTTATAGAGAACGTTCCACAGAGTAGGTCCCAGAACTGAGTCCTGTGGAACGCCCATTGTAACTTCCATGCGTTCGTCCTTCCGGATGCCTATGGATCTGTCTGTCAGGTAATTCGTTATTAAATTTACCAGGTATTTACTTATTTCAGCCTTTCTTAGCTTTCCTATGATAATACTCCATACCGCCGTATTAAAAGCGTTCTTGACGTCTATGAGTATTACTGCCGTCCACTTTCATGCCTGGGTCCTTTCCTCTTTTTCCTCACACTCGTCCGTCCTATGTTCATGCTCTAAGCATCGATAACACCTTATGATGTTCACTCTTTCTTTTACCGCACAATTTATCCATCCGACTTTGATTGTTCCTATTCCTGTCAATCTGGCGGCTTGATATCTGGGGATTTCTACCGTAGCCGTTTGTTCTTCGTATCTCCCGAGTCTAGTGCTCTTTATGTCGATTTCCTCTTCTATCATGCCCTCCGTCATTAGGGCTTCTTCTACCTCATCCTTGGTGGTGGTGGAGTCCATACCCATAATGTATATTATGGTGCCACGCTTTTTGGTCGAGACCCTCATGTCCTGCATATTTTTCATAATCTTCGTTTTCAATGTCTCCGCTTTTTTCTGGCCTCCTGCCACCGTTAAAATGAGATATTCCTTCCCGGCCTTTCTAATCCTTCTTATATCGACTCCAATTTTCTCTATGTCAACGTTGCCTTTAAACTTTTTTAACAAATTGGCGTATGTTTCATTTCCCGCCTTGATGGTTACCTTACTGTCTATTGGGCGTTTGACCTTGTTTTCTCCGTCCGTACTCCTGTTTCCTGGTAATCGACATATTATTTCCGTTTCTATGTTACTGAACAGACATTCTAAAATTGTTCTACATTTAGCCCTATTTATCCCGTCCGCCGCCGCGAATATGCATTTTTTCCTTTCGTCTCTCGTTATGTCTTCCTTTAGTCTTAATAACATCTCTCCGATTTTTTCATCCTCAACTCCTTTTTCCGTGTCGAATTCTGTTGGTATTATGTATACCCTTTTTCCTTTTTCCCTGGTTTCCCCATTTCTTAGTCTTACTTTGGTGAAGTTAGTGAGATATCTTATTTCCTCGCTGGACTCTTTTTCTCCGTATAGGTCTTTAACTTCCTGGTATCTTTCATAGACCATTCTGCTCAATCCCTTGTCCCAGTTCTCCTTAGGATTTAGAATGACCGCCAGATCTCATCCCTCGTCGGATTTGACGAAGTAAGCCGTTTCTTCTTTGGTCACCGTGTATGCGATATCTGGCCAGTCTTCTTCAATAATTTCCTTATAATCCACGTATTCCTTACTATTTCTTATTTTCCGCAAAAGTATTTCTGTCTCGTCCTCTTGTTCCATTTCCAGGTTTGCCTGTATCCCCTTGTCCTCCGTTTTTTTTCTGTTCTGTCTCCATTGGCTCCCTTTCCAGTCTTTCTTCCTCCCTGTGCTTGTCTTCTTTTTCGCACTCGTTTATGATATGTATCGAGCCACCCATTAGATTATCTAAGCTCCTGGAGTTTTTCTTAATCTCCACCTTAGTATTGGTGTGCTCTTTAACTAAATCCAAAAGCTTCTGGATTTCCTTTTTAAGCTTGTTTGTGCCTTTTTTAATCTTTTCGTAGCTGCCCTCAGTCGGTGTTATGAAGGTAATTTCTTGTGCGGATCCATCCTTCCTTTTTCTGCGCTTTGGGTTTGGCTTCCCGTCCACATTTTTAGTTTTTGCTTCCATTTTCAGCTCCTCTATACTATTCCCATTTTCTCCCAGAAATATTCTCAAGAGGTCGTCCGTATCTGTGTTCACATCGGTTTCATTGTCCATGGGAGTTTTCTCGCTAACTTCATCTACACTATTTTCAGGGCTAGCTCTAAGCGGTGGTGTTCTCTTCAGTGATTCCCTTCTCTTAAAGGGATCTTCCTGATACATCTACTCTATATACATATCCTCTCTAGGTTTGGTCAACGATTTTGCTTCTCCCATAAGCTGAAGGCTTGTAAACACGCTGTCATCAAAAAACCCCGCAGATTCTGTTCCCGTTTCAGTGGGAGTCGCAGTGCATGATTGGAAGTTTTCGTTTTTTCCGAACCTTCTTTGACTTCTCTTGTCTCGCCTGTAATAATAGTCAGTCTGGTCGCCGGTGCTGTTCTTCCGATTTTAGCCTGTGCTTTCTTTTCTTTTCTGTCGTTTTCTTCTTCGTCCCTTTGATTCTCTTTTTGAGCACTTTTTTTGTCCTTTTGCTCCGATTTGCTTACATCGATTATTTCGTCTATTTTCTCTATTTTGTCTCCTCTATCGCCTTTTGGCCTAATTTCCCTCTTTGAGGTTTCTACCGAGTTTTCTATTTGGATATTATTCATAATTATTCCCACGAGTAGGGCAGAATGAAAGTCCGGCAGGGCAGTGCTCCCATACCCTGCTATGGCTACGTACTCCGAGAGTTCGGCTGGTTCTCGGAGGCATCTTTCGTAGCCGCATCCGTGCAGCCACGCATCCCTCGGCACGATTGCTTCCACCTGGATTCCGGCTTTTTACGGCTGGTGTGCTCCATCCTGGTTTTCTGTCGGGGTTTTCCTTCCCTTAGCCAACGTGGTCCCCGTTTTATGGCGCCGGGGACTCGCCATTCGCCCTCCCATTTCAGGGTCGGACTTGCCGGTTTGCTTTTGTAAGCTGGGCAGATGTTCTTGACTGGTTTCTGCTGGTGTCACCTAGTCAGCATCAGTGACCCCACCAGTACCCCACCGACCATTTTAAGCTGTTTGTCGGCTTCACTAACCATTCCCGTCCCGTTAAGGCTCGATGCAGGCATCTTCTTGTACTCCTTTTCGGTCCAACAGAAAAAAGTGAGAGTAAATGGATTTAAGTTACTTTTAGAAGTACCCTTTACAAGGGTGAAATTTTAAATATAAAATTGCCTTGAATAACAGTTTTGACCATAGTCCTCCTCACATGTTCACCAAAGGTTTTCTTACCGTCAAGCCAGATCCCAAGATACTTCACCTGTTTGACCGGTACTATGTCTACACCGTTTAGTTTGAAGGTTATCCATTTAATATTAGCGCTTCCGTCTTTTCAGGGGCTACTTGGAGTTTGTGTCCCTCCATCCACTCGCTTATCGTGTCTAATGAGCAGTTTGTATTTCGTATAAGCCTCGATGGACTATCTGCGGCCACTGTTAGTGCTAGGTCATCCGCGTAGGCAACTACGTGGCAGCCGTCTTCTAGTTCTAGTTGTAAAACATCGTTATAGAGAACGTTCCACAGAGTAGGTCCCAGAACTGAGTCCTGTGGAACGCCCATTGTAACTTCCATGCGTTCGTCCTTCCGGATGCCTATGGATCTGTCTGTCAGGTAATTCGTTATTAAATTTACCAGGTATTTACTTATTTCAGCCTTTCTTAGCTTTCCTATGATAATACTCCATACCGCCGTATTAAAAGCGTTCTTGACGTCTATGAGTATTACTGCCGTCCACTTTCATGCCTGGGTCCTTTCCTCTTTTTCCTCACACTCGTCCGTCCTATGTTCATGCTCTAAGCATCGATAACACCTTATGATGTTCACTCTTTCTTTTACCGCACAATTTATCCATCCGACTTTGATTGTTCCTATTCCTGTCAATCTGGCGGCTTGATATCTGGGGATTTCTACCGTAGCCGTTTGTTCTTCGTATCTCCCGAGTCTAGTGCTCTTTATGTCGATTTCCTCTTCTATCATGCCCTCCGTCATTAGGGCTTCTTCTACCTCATCCTTGGTGGTGGTGGAGTCCATACCCATAATGTATATTATGGTGCCACGCTTTTTGGTCGAGACCCTCATGTCCTGCATATTTTTCATAATCTTCGTTTTCAATGTCTCCGCTTTTTTCTGGCCTCCTGCCACCGTTAAAATGAGATATTCCTTCCCGGCCTTTCTAATCCTTCTTATATCGACTCCAATTTTCTCTATGTCAACGTTGCCTTTAAACTTTTTTAACAAATTGGCGTATGTTTCATTTCCCGCCTTGATGGTTACCTTACTGTCTATTGGGCGTTTGACCTTGTTTTCTCCGTCCGTACTCCTGTTTCCTGGTAATCGACATATTATTTCCGTTTCTATGTTACTGAACAGACATTCTAAAATTGTTCTACATTTAGCCCTATTTATCCCGTCCGCCGCCGCGAATATGCATTTTTTCCTTTCGTCTCTCGTTATGTCTTCCTTTAGTCTTAATAACATCTCTCCGATTTTTTCATCCTCAACTCCTTTTTCCGTGTCGAATTCTGTTGGTATTATGTATACCCTTTTTCCTTTTTCCCTGGTTTCCCCATTTCTTAGTCTTACTTTGGTGAAGTTAGTGAGATATCTTATTTCCTCGCTGGACTCTTTTTCTCCGTATAGGTCTTTAACTTCCTGGTATCTTTCATAGACCATTCTGCTCAATCCCTTGTCCCAGTTCTCCTTAGGATTTAGAATGACCGCCAGATCTCATCCCTCGTCGGATTTGACGAAGTAAGCCGTTTCTTCTTTGGTCACCGTGTATGCGATATCTGGCCAGTCTTCTTCAATAATTTCCTTATAATCCACGTATTCCTTACTATTTCTTATTTTCCGCAAAAGTATTTCTGTCTCGTCCTCTTGTTCCATTTCCAGGTTTGCCTGTATCCCCTTGTCCTCCGTTTTTTTTCTGTTCTGTCTCCATTGGCTCCCTTTCCAGTCTTTCTTCCTCCCTGTGCTTGTCTTCTTTTTCGCACTCGTTTATGATATGTATCGAGCCACCCATTAGATTATCTAAGCTCCTGGAGTTTTTCTTAATCTCCACCTTAGTATTGGTGTGCTCTTTAACTAAATCCAAAAGCTTCTGGATTTCCTTTTTAAGCTTGTTTGTGCCTTTTTTAATCTTTTCGTAGCTGCCCTCAGTCGGTGTTATGAAGGTAATTTCTTGTGCGGATCCATCCTTCCTTTTTCTGCGCTTTGGGTTTGGCTTCCCGTCCACATTTTTAGTTTTTGCTTCCATTTTCAGCTCCTCTATACTATTCCCATTTTCTCCCAGAAATATTCTCAAGAGGTCGTCCGTATCTGTGTTCACATCGGTTTCATTGTCCATGGGAGTTTTCTCGCTAACTTCATCTACACTATTTTCAGGGCTAGCTCTAAGCGGTGGTGTTCTCTTCAGTGATTCCCTTCTCTTAAAGGGATCTTCCTGATACATCTACTCTATATACATATCCTCTCTAGGTTTGGTCAACGATTTTGCTTCTCCCATAAGCTGAAGGCTTGTAAACACGCTGTCATCAAAAAACCCCGCAGATTCTGTTCCCGTTTCAGTGGGAGTCGCAGTGCATGATTGGAAGTTTTCGTTTTTTCCGAACCTTCTTTGACTTCTCTTGTCTCGCCTGTAATAATAGTCAGTCTGGTCGCCGGTGCTGTTCTTCCGATTTTAGCCTGTGCTTTCTTTTCTTTTCTGTCGTTTTCTTCTTCGTCCCTTTGATTCTCTTTTTGAGCACTTTTTTTGTCCTTTTGCTCCGATTTGCTTACATCGATTATTTCGTCTATTTTCTCTATTTTGTCTCCTCTATCGCCTTTTGGCCTAATTTCCCTCTTTGAGGTTTCTACCGAGTTTTCTATTTGGATATTATTCATAATTATTCCCACGAGTAGGGCAGAATGAAAGTCCGGCAGGGCAGTGCTCCCATACCCTGCTATGGCTACGTACTCCGAGAGTTCGGCTGGTTCTCGGAGGCATCTTTCGTAGCCGCATCCGTGCAGCCACGCATCCCTCGGCACGATTGCTTCCACCTGGATTCCGGCTTTTTACGGCTGGTGTGCTCCATCCTGGTTTTCTGTCGGGGTTTTCCTTCCCTTAGCCAACGTGGTCCCCGTTTTATGGCGCCGGGGACTCGCCATTCGCCCTCCCATTTCAGGGTCGGACTTGCCGGTTTGCTTTTGTAAGCTGGGCAGATGTTCTTGACTGGTTTCTGCTGGTGTCACCTAGTCAGCATCAGTGACCCCACCAGTACCCCACCGACCATTTTAAGCTGTTTGTCGGCTTCACTAACCATTCCCGTCCCGTTAAGGCTCGATGCAGGCATCTTCTTGTACTCCTTTTCGGTCCAACAGAAAAAAGTGAGAGTAAATGGATTTAAGTTACTTTTAGAAGTACCCTTTACAAGGGTGAAATTTTAAATATAAAATTGCCTTGAATAACAGGCCTGTTGATCCGGAATCTTTGGTAATACTTGATTTTTCTGTCAGTCAAACGAAAAAACTTTCTTCATCCCGTTCTCTTAACAGGCGAAAAAATGGTTTAGATCTCAATGAATGTACCCTTTTCTGGACCATTAAGTTGGCTTTGACATCCATATCAGAGCAAGCTTTTATTTTCTCTGTTAAATGTATGCATGTCGAACAAACATCGGTTCTAGGCGAACCAAAACCAAGATTGTATTTTATTTTAAAAATATTCCCGAAATAGCTTTCTTTTACAGGAAGTTTTCATTTTCCTTCACATACATTCTCCACATTGAGTTTATATTTAAAGAAGAATCCAGGTATAGTTGTTGGCTTTGTCCTCTGCAATAATGAGATTCAATTACATGAAATTTTTTAATAAAATCCATAACAGCATTTTTCTTCGACTTGTAATTTTCCAGCTTTCTATCGCCTCCACGATTTTCCTTTGCAGGTTGAGAAGTTTGATCAAAATTCTTTGTAACGGTGTCAATTCGTCTCCTTGATATACCCAAAACATCCATGAAAGCTTTCTTGCACATAGCCAACATTTTTTTGTTTCAAGAAACAAAACCGTGTTTGAAATTTTTTAAGACATTGTTAGAATTTTTCGGGCGTTTACGCTGTATCGGAAATATTTTCTTTTGTCTCATAAAATTTTGAATGAAACTGTCTTATTTCTCCCATTGTCAGTGAGGTACATCGAAGAGCACCAGTTTTATGTCCATATTTCGGATAAATTGGAAGCGAATGTGGACTATATCTAAAACAAACCCATCTTTGCAGGAAGATATACAAAAACCTTCCTTACCTAATTTTTTTTGCTGAGTTCTTTTTCACGTCGCCGTAATACGTTGTCGTTTTCTTGCTTTATTACTGGTTACTGGAGTAATGTTCACCTCCATTATTACTTTAAAAAAATTGGAATTGGAAAAAACTAGTAAACAAACTTTACTTCTTCACGAATCACATGCAACTAACTTAGAAACTTAGAAATAATTCAAAACTAACAACAAAAACCCATTGGCGATTTAAATCGGATTGGAGATTGTACTGCTTGAAACTTAAATGTCAACGCATATTGTACGTTTTGAATTTAAGTCTAATTTTCTGCAGAACTTTTTATCAAGAATACCTTTTTTTCATAAAACCACTAATAAAAAAGTTTTCCATATGGTTCCAACAAATATTATGAAAGCTTGTAGAAAAAAAAATGTGTTTCCAAAGCCCTACTATAGTATAATATGTTTTTATTTTAAAATAAAGCCAAATCTTTCAAATAACTTTGACACATTTTTTTTAAACAAAAAATTTTTATACGTAATTATCTCAGTTCAACATTTCGTGGCTTGGTTCTTTTATGCATAACTACATCCAATTGGTGTTTAACTCAATATCGTTTAGGCTTCTTTTTTATTTGTTCTCTTAGCTGTTTCGCAATTTGTGCCATAGTATTGTTAATAATATAATTTGAGTTTTTCTCATCTTAGCTAACATATTTTCTCTGTTCATGGTCATTGCAACACTTGTAAAAATCAAACAATACTGAATAAGAATATAAATCACACATATGAATGACCAGAGGAAGAATGAATCACATAACCTACATAGATCTTCCTTTTTTGGGAAAAATTTTCTTCTTTTAGTTAAAGAACCAAATTTATTCTCAACAACCGCCCACTACAAAACTAATCAGAATAATTACCATATGAGGGATATAGTTTCAAAGTGTAGAATCTCCATATTTTATAAAAAGTAAGATAGATGTCGCATTATATAGAATTTGTAGCCCTGCATCGAAATAATTAACAATTTCTTTTCAAAACAGATAAACTAGTTCCCAATATTTTTAAAAAAAGTTTGCCGTTCTTCTACAGAAACCTTTTCATGACATTGATCTCTACATTCGTAGTTTTTAAATTCCTTCGGATTAATGTGAACTCCTTTATAATTAAAATATCGTCGGTATACAAGCAAAATCTAATAAGTCAAAAAACATAGTTTTTAGATATTGCGATTTTAAGTTTTTACATTTGTATTTAGTTTTGCAGTTTTATTGCGTGCAACTTTTTCTTACATTTTATATTGGTAGAGTAATTTTGCACATATATTGAATAAAATGTCACATTAAACATTTTATTTTGAATTTATATTTTTGTTTATTTAAGGATGTTTTTCTTCAATTGTACTGTCTTAATATGTTTTTCATGTAGGGATTGAGATAATGTGTTTTACATGTATAATAAAAAAGAAAACTGCGACTTATATTCTTTTTTATTTAATTTAAAAAAATATGTATTTTAATATTCTAAATAATAATACAAAACAATATTTTGAATAAAGTTTAGGAGAGAAAATAATTAATTAAATAAAAAGAACGACTCCAGCCAATCATTATTGAAAAATATATTCACATTTTTTTAGTAGTTCTCTTCCTCTTCATCGGGGTCATTTTCACTTGGTTCTGCAGTTACGTCTTGAATAGAACATGAACTGGGCAAGCTTCTATACCAGGCATGAAGGGGAGAGGGAATAATATTGTTTTCGCAAAGCTGTAAAAGGTCCTTTTTTTTTGGCGGCGGAGATTGGTAACTGTTTTGTATATAGTTGTGGAATAGTAAAGTTTTCAAAATCAGCCATTTTACCCCTTCTATCTGATGCACGCCTCTCAAATCCAATGTGTATTTTCTCGTACTCATCACTAAAACTGTATTTATACTGAATCGTGTTGGGCATATTTAAAACATTTCACTTTTAACCAGTTGACAGTATTTCCTTTCTCGTCTTTCTTTCTGTTGGTAACAACAGTACATTGAACAAGTTTTTTTAGATCTAAAAAGTCATTAAATAACAATTCTCGTGTTTGATAGGGAGACTTCTCACGCTTTTTGCCAATTCTTGCTATTTTAAAGATATTTTCATATTCGTGCACACTATAAACATCAACATATGACGTGTAGCGGCTTCAATGGCGCTGTGCATCGAATCCACCTCCATATAAGAATACCCACCTTCCATACATTTTTGTTCGATTACACATAGGCTTGAGTGACTTCGTACAAGATGTAGTAGACAAGCTGCTATCTGTACATTTCTATTTTGACCGCCACAAGTGTCAGAAAAAATAGTCAGGTGCTTAACCTCATCACGTAGTGAGTTTATATAAAATGACAGACAATGACCGATTTCACAACTACCGCGTTTTCCATTTATTTCCGTCCAAAAATAGCAAAAACCGTCATTAGGTGCTGCCGATTCATAAATAGTAAAATTGTACAAGTTTAGTTTTCGGAGATAGTAAACTAACTTGTGAGATGGGAATTTGAAGAACGCTTTGCATGTCGCACGTTATTGACTTAAAAGACTTATCACTGGCTGCCCTTTTCTTATCTTCTTCTTTATTTTTCATCGAAGCTTCTTTTCTCTGTAAATGTTCTTTGTATTTTAACTTCAGTGAAAGCTTTTCTTCAGTAGATGCTTTCTGATATTCATTACAAGTTGAACATTGGTCTTTTTTGGGTTTAAAAAATGACATATTGTACTCGGTGCCAAATATTCTTCGATACGTTATCATACTTACTCCAATAGATTGGTTTTCATTACACTTTTCCATAAATAAATTGTACATTTTTGTATATTCAGATTTGAATCAAGGTACAGTCTTTTACTTGATTGTCTTGTGTAATGACTTTCAACGACAGGAAAACTTTCGATATGCGCTTTTACTCTTAGAATTACATCTTCAGGAGTTTTATTGGCCGGTGTCTTCTGACCTCTTCTGTCCATCCCACTGAACTCCCCACTATTACTTTTATATTGAAATACACTTATAATAGGTAGATTCGATATACATAATGTTTTACAAAAGAACTTCTGACAGACTTGGTATTTAGTTTCATTTTTAGCAAAAAAATAAGATTTTGCATTACTTCTCTGTTTACTCTCTTTCCCCTTCCTAGGCCTACGATTTTTAACTTCTTTCGACGTTACATTCATAAGTATAAAGTATTTCTGTCGTTGGTACGGTAAACTGTAGTATTTTTGGCACAATAGTTTTCGATCCTCTTCAGAAAAGTTTTTTGTACACTTGTAACGGCATTTAGAACAGTCCACTGCTGCGGGGATCTTGGGTGCTTGAATTTTCCCAGTGACACTTTTGTAAGGCTGTCCTTGACTTCTTTTCATTTTTTTCAATATTTCTTGCCCAAGTTGAGGGTCTTGATGTTACCCATCTTTGTCTCTTTTTAGCCTTTCTTGGGTTTTCTTTGTTTGCTGTACCAGCTCTATCTCTATTTTCATCGTGTTCATTACTTGTTTCTGAAAGTTCAATATCATTCTCTGGTAAAAAGTCCTTGTCTTTCACTGAATCATCCGAGTCATAGTCAAAAGGAATTTCATTGTCACTCTTGTTAGGGACTTTATTTTCGTTCCTAACACTTATGGAGGACTCAGCTAAAACAAAAACCCATTATTTTTTATAATATTTTAATTAAAGCAAAGCAAATAAATTTTTACAATTATATCATTTTTTTTAAAGAAACATCTGGAGATCAAAATATTATATTGTACAAATTCACCAAAAAATAATGTAACTTTAAAAATGTCAAAAACCATCCTAAATAGTAAAAATGTTGGGTTATTTTATACAATATTGCAGTAATACGTTACGCTACAATAATATTAAAAAGTTAAAGCAAAACTAAACATGCATCTATTAATAATCGAAAGAAAAATGTTAATAATTTAAAAATACGTGTAAATCATCTTACCTTTTGAAACATCATCGATTTTAACGCATTTAACCATTGAATACTGTTTTTGGCTGATATTTTCTGAACATGTTTGAGAAGTCGATGCTAAAAGAAAAATAATCAATTGTGTAACACAAAGAAACTAATGAGAATTCATTATCACTATCCAATTATCTTAAAAATATGTATAAATAATCTTACCTTCTAACGCATCATCGATTATAATGGGTGTTAGCACTGAATACTGTTTTTCGTTGGTACTTGCTGAACATGTTTGGAAAGTGGAAGCTAAAAGAAGAATAATCAGTTGTATGATAAAAAAAATAAAGACTGATTATCAAAATGCAGTATAATAATTGTAGTTAGGAGGCGCAATTATTGACAATAATATAATAATAATAATAATAATATAATAATACTCTCCCTAATTCACCCCCTTACGAGTGAATTTCAACCCCTGAAGTCGACTGAACGTGTAGGGGAAGGGACGGCTATTATTATTATTTGCCGTAGCGCTCAAAACAGTACATGCATATGTACACATACATACAGGCGGACTTTTACTGACATAATTTTTTCTTGAACTTTAATAGAATAATAACATTATATTTGACAAAACAAAGTTATAGAGTAATTTTTTAGTTCAGTATCTAGTTTAACCTAACCTAAAGTAATATTTCATGCAAAAGTAAAATGGCAACGTTGTTAGCATCCGTTTTGAGCGCCAAAGCATTAAAAATGTTTTTTCACATTTTCTTAGTACTTGGAAATTACCTAATTAAATTATAATTGTAAACAGTATTTGGTACACACACCTATACAATTATTTTGATTTTTCTGCAACTCAAGAAATATTTTATCAATACGTCTCATTATGGCACTTTACACTAGCACCGCATGAACAAAACTAACCACGCCTGTAAAAATTTCAATGCGAATTGGGATTTTGTAGTTGTCTCGACTTGTCTAACGATTCAGCAAAATCCACTAAGTTGGAACGGCGCGTAACATTATGAGTATTTTCTTTCAAAAAAATCCAGTAAGTCACTTAATGGGTTTTACCTGAACAAAAGGGATCTTATTTCGGACTTAGTGAAAACAATAATATGAGAAAAGGTAGACGTCATAAACCGAATGACTTGGTGGGTTTTGCCAGAAGACAGGGTGTTAAAATTCAAGCTGCTGGTGTAAATAAGCCAATTTAAAAAAAAATTGACTTAGTGTGTTTTGCTTGTATACCGACGATATGATTTGTTGCTGTTTCTATTTTTCTTCTTTATCACACGTGTCTGATTTTCATATTTATTTTCCTTCCTCTGTTTGGTCTTCTTGTAATAGAAACCTCGCCCTGCATTGCAGCAGCTACTTCTCCTGGAATAGGAATTTCCTCATGTGCATCCTCCGCGTCTGCTTCTGATGATGAGGTACTGGGAGGCTCATAATGGGCATCAGCTACACTATCATCAGAAAATCCTGTAGCTTAATCTTCAAAAGAATTTTCTGGTTCAATGTTATTCTAAAATTTTTATAAAAGTGAGGTTAGAATTTGACATTACATTATTATTTTTCCCAATTTTCTACCTTTTGTGCCAATTCCACTAAGTATTTGCCTCTTGATGTAGTAGACATATTACATTTTATAAGATTGAGCATAAACTATCCTCGACAAGAAACACGAAACACACAAAACAAACACCAAATGAAACACGAGGTGAAAAATATAATTTGCAAAAAAGAACCAAGTATGTTGGGTTCTTTATGTAGATTTCTTTCTACTGCTTTTATAAATCGCTTAAGGGAATTTTCGTAGAGATTGCGCTGCCAGTCAGTTTAAAGGTTTGGTACTATTTTGCGTATTGGAGATAAACAATTTATATATCACATGGTGTTGTTAATGCAATAATTACTAAATGTGGCTTGGTTCTTTTATGCATAACTACATCCAATTGGGAAATTTGAAATGCTTAAATCCCAAGATTTTATAACATTTAAAAATTATATAAGGATGGATGAACCTACATTTAATAAATTATTAAATATGATCCAAACTAAAATCAAAAAATCAGACACGAATTTTCGAGAGTGTATTTCTGCGAGACATAATCTAATTGTAACATAACACCTGTATGCATAGGCGATCGCCAGCGATTTGTCAGAGATTCATCTCGGCGGTATCACCAGCGATCCGCTGGCGAAAGCGGCATAACAAATATAAAAGCGCGCGTGCAATTTTTAGCGGCGAGCGACGGTGCATCACAATTCTCGTCTAGTGAACAGCGAAATCCTGGAGACTCCATGGCGATCAACTATGCATACGGGCGTGAGATATTTGGCCACAAAAGAATCTTTCATATTATTAATGTACAATTTTGGGATATCTGAAAGTTCAAAATACAATTTTATTCCAGTTGTTTGCAAACCCATATATGATCAATTAAAACGCAAATATTTAAAAGTATATCTAATCTAATAACTATTGAAATTGTTCGCAATTTTTTCAGGTACCATCTACAGCTGGAGAATGGTTAAATATTGCACAAGATTTTAAAAAAATCTGGAATTTATCCTTGGTGCAATGGATGGTAACCACATTGTTAAGTAATTAGTTCTTTTGTTATGTTTTGTGCTGTATAAATAAGTACATAGTTTATATATTGTTAGACTTTTATATTAGTGATCATTCGGTATATTAAAAACAAATGATTTTTTTGAGTACTGTTTACGTGTAAGTCACGATAATATAAAAGTCATCCTATCGCCTTTTTATTTTATATTTGATATAAATAAATCAGTTACAAAGATAGCAGTGTGTTTCTGCAGATATATAAATTTAACCAAATCACACAGGTTATGGGCCCAGTAATACGCTGAGGAAAGTATCGTTTGTCGAGTTTATATATACCCTTCAAGAAACTGATTAAAAATGTGCGAAAAAGGTGCGGATGTTACTAGCATCAATAAGTTTGATGGAAGCAATTACCAGCAGTGGACCTTTCAAATGAAATGTGCCTTGAAAGCAAAAGGAATATATGACGTAGCAGCTGGGACAGCTCCCAAGCCGCCGAATGATGGTGATGATCAGAAAGCCTGGTGCAAGAAGGATGCTCAAGCAATGTTCACTCTCACTGCGGCAATGAACTATTCTCAAATAACTTTGGTTGAGAATTGTGATTCGTCTAAAGAGATCCTTGATAAACTGAATGCAATCTACATGCAGAAGTCTGAGATGAGCAAAATGCTTGTACACGAACGGTTTCATCAATATAAGATGGATCCAAACGACTCCGTTGCTCATCATATTGCGAAAGTAGAAAATTTGGCGAAGCAAGTAAAAGACGCTGGGGAAATAATCAGTAATGCAGCAGTAATGACCAAAATCTTAAGTTCGCTGCCATCGAAATACCGAAATGTTAGTCAAGCTTGGCTTTCGTTAGATGAAACCAAACAGACCATTGCAAACCTAACTGCTCGATTACTGGACGAAGAATCCAACCTAACCTCTATTGAAGAAGCAGAAACTGCATTGACAGCCATGTCACTTAAAAAACATAAAAGAAGTTTCAAAAAATTTTCCGGAAAATGTTACAAGTGTCACAATAGAGGTCATATGGCAAGATACTGCAAAACAAAATTAAATTCTGATGGTCATAGAGACGAGAACACAGCTAGTGCTTTTAATGTTGAATTGGAAACTAGTATTTCCAGTGCAGACTGCTGGATAATGGACAGCGGAGCGTCAGCGCATATGTGTTACCGCAGAGACTTCTTTTCAACATTTAAAGAGGTTGAAGATATCACTGTTAAGCTGGGAAACAATTACACTTTGTTTGTCAAAGGTAAAGGAACGGTACGAGTCCAAAAACTACTCAATAACAAA